AGACTTGTTGAAACAAGTGAGGCAGCGCAGAACGCACACAGTGCCACAGGCTCGGGTAAAGCTGCCGGTCGCACAATCTTTTCATGTAGCACACGGTAGTACTTTGGGAAATTTCTTTATAGGATGGAAGTTCACGGACCCCCATCCATATCAGGCCATTACGGCGAATGTCCAGCCGCGCTTTAAAACGTGAAAGGTTAAGTGATTTTTTTTTGTTGCTGCTTTTTTGCAAACTCTCTTTGGATACCCACAGTTTTAATGAAATGTATACTGCATTGCACAAACTAAATTCAATTTCCTTCAGGCAAGCTGCTTTTAAAAAATAAAGGTCACGAGTCACGAAGCTTTGCTCCGCAGTTGCTCTGAGAATCCCCAGTTAAATGTCGATACTAAACTTAACTGCTGCTACTTTGTACAGTTTGTGAATAAAAAAACCCCCTCAATGGTTTTACCGTCCGCGCCTTTTTCCATTTTCACATAGCTTTGAACCTATTAGTTGACTCAGTCTTAAACATTGTGTTTCCCTGTACCTAGTGAGACATGTATTAAACAGCCTCTCTTTGCATTCTCGACTCCCTCGGATAATTACAAAGCTGCATTAAATCCTCCGCGTCCACAGCAGGGTCACACAACTTGCGATTTGAAAATGGAGAACACAAACAAACACTAATAGAATCTTCCATTAATTACCATGATAGCTGGGTTTATTCTTCGCACTGGAAGGAGAGCCAAACTTTGTTAAATAATGAATTAGAAAAAATGCCCAGATGGATTTCACCGTACATTTTTATTCCTTTCTAAATTCATATATTTTCAATTCAAGGAAAGTGAATTGAAGGAGAAATTATATTAACAAACAAACAAGCCAGCGGAAAACCTTCTGATTTCTACTTGTAATAAAATTATTACCTTTTTCGTGTAAAATCAGCAATTGAAGGTTACAGTAAGTCGCCGTCTTGTTATTAAAGCCAAGTCACATCTGTCAATTCTAATATTTTCTAGGAAAAACATTTTTTTCTTAATAACATTTTTAATACATTGTTGACTAAATGTTTTAATAATCTGAGGTACTGTGTTGCTGAGTAACAAATAGGGGGCAGAGAATGAGGACATGTCACACAAAGTGTAATACCGTATTTACTTGTAACTAATGCGCACCTTTTTTGGAAAGTAAAGTTTACAAAATTTGAATGCGCATTAGATTTGATGGCGCATTACATTCGGGGGAAAAATTCAAAATTTTCCTGCGAATTGCATTCCGGCAAATTCACACAGGCAAATTAAAACTGGGGAATTCAAACAGACAAATTTTGTTACTGAAAGAGGACTTAAGAAAGTATAGACTTAAAATGTACCACTACAATTGAAATACCACGAATGTTAGTATGGTATATGGCAATAAACATGTTCACTGTAGCACAATGTTGTATAGTAGTATCTTCACCAATTACCTTCACCTGCAAAAACATTTTTCAACATCCAGGTTTCAACAATTGAGGTGAATATTAGATTCGATGGCTCATTAGATCCGAGTAAATACGGGTATTTGGTGCAGTCTGCAAGGCCTTTTCAGATACATAAAGGTATTTATTAGATGGTCAGACAAAATCACAGCAACAATATATGTTTTGACAAATACAAGTTTCAAATATTAATCTCAAGGGAATCACCCAGATGTAATCAGAAATAAGTAATGTGTTGGGGACGGGGCCAGGCACCAAAGATGGCTGGACGAGCTTCATAGCAAATCTTCGTGACTCAAATTTATCTTGTAGGCCTCCTGTTTTCATGCTACCACAGGACAATCAGCAACTAAAGCAGACTACTCTTGCTGCCAGTAAACACTTATTTTGAGGGATTTGAAGTGCCCAAGCACATCGGATACTCACCGCAACTGACCCTGAGAGTGACGGCCTGGTGCTGGGAGAGACGGACGCTCTCCCGTCCCTGGGCTCACACCTAATCACGAACCTCTCGAATCCCCATTACCCCCACTCTTTGGACCGGTGGGGCATATCCCAGTCCCCACTTAGTGTCAACATGCAATCAGCCCGGTATGAGGAGAATAGCAGTGCCAAGCGACAAAAACTAGAGGGTCTCATGCTCACAGCAAAAATGTCAACCAAAAGGGAACATGATATCAGGCCTTCCACGAGGACCGAATCGAGTGGGCCTTTGAACACCTCTGGTCACAGCTCTTGGCAAAGCTTACCAAACAAACACAGAGACAAGCAGTTATGGATGTCTCCCAACAACCCACTGCAGCGCCTGCACAGAGGCCTGCACCAATGCCTGCACCAAGGCCTGCACTGAGGCCTGCACCAAAGCCTGCACAGAGGCCTGAACCGAGGCCTGCACCAAAGCCTGCACAGAGGCCTGAACCGAGGCCTGCACCAAAGCCTGCACAGAGGCCTGAACCGAGGCCAGTACAGAAGCCTGCACCAAGGGCTGCACCGAAGCGCAATGTCACGAAGCTGCAAAGAAGACGCGAAGAAGGAGAACGCAGAAGGCACCCCAACTCAGGAGACGCCACCATGCAACCCGCAGATGCTTACCTGGACTCCAGTCCATACTAGGATGTTGTCCCAAGCGCAGCTCACACCCTCAGATAGTGTGTACCAAGCCGCCCACGAGCAGATCCAGAGACTCTGTCCAGACCATCAACAACTGTTGGATGTGGGAGAACCCAGGATGGGATTGTACTGGGGACTGGAGCTGGTGGGGTAGCTGTGCTGTACTGTGGACTGGAGCTGGTGGGGTAGCTAGGCTGTACTGTGGACTGGAGCTGGTGGGGTAGCTATGCTGTACTGTGGACTGGAGCTGGTGGGGTAGCTATGCTGTACTGGGGACTGGAGCTGGTGGGGTAGCTAGGCTGTACTGTGGACTGGAGCTGGTGGGGTAGCTAGGCTGTACTGTGGACTGGAGCTGGTGGGGTAGCTATGCTGTACTGGGGACTGGAGCTGGTGGGGTAGCTAGGCTGTACTGTGGACTGGAGCTGGTGGGGTAGCTATGCTGTACTGGGGACTGGAGCTGGTGGGGTAGCAATGCTGTACTGGGGACTGGAGCTGGTGGGGTAGTTATGTTGTACTGGGTACTGGAGCTGGTGGGGTAGTTATGCTGTACTGGGGACTGGAGCTGGTGGGGTAGTTATGCTGTACTGGGGACTGGAGCTAGTGGGGTAGCTATGCTGTACTGGGGACTGGAGATGGAGGGGTAGCTATGCTGTACTGGGGACTGGAGATGGTGGGGTAGCTATTCTGTACTGGGGACTGGAGATGGTGGGGTAGCTATGCTTTTAATACACCACCACGAAGGCTGCATTGGTTAGTGGGCATAGGCTGACCACCCTTCTTGAGAGCAGGATCGGGCTACTACTCCCTTTAGGCCTCAGGTCACAAGCTGGGCAGTGTAGGGTACCCTGAACCATCATCTACCCGCCTTATACTTTTAATTTATTGACCAAAAGTCTGTTTAGCTCACATTTGTTTTTCCTCATAGATGGCACCAGTGGTAACCTAGCCTACAGTAGCTTAGCAAGATTTGTATAGTCACTTTTCTTTTCTTTATTAATAATAAAAAAATGAAAAAACTGTGCTGTATTTTGTATGCCACACTAAGGATTTATACTCTCTGTCATTATACTGCTTGTTAATGCTATTATGGCAAAGTAAGCTTGTTTGTTATATAGGCACAACAAAAATAAAGAATTAATAAAAAATATATATATTTTAAACCAAAAAAACAAGTAATTTGTAGTACTTTGAAGTAAAACTACAAAACGTTTACAAGGTTTTTCACTAAAGTAATAATTCAAGGAAAATTCAAAGTGAATTTCAAATTTAAGGTTAAAATAGCCAAAATTGAGAAATTCTCTAAATCAGCCATTTTACACTTTGACTACTCTGACCTTAAATTCTTAAATATGAAATCACTTGACTGCAGACCCACGAACCTCCCGTTGCCCAATAAACACACAACACCTGTATAGTGGATAAGGGCAACGGCCACAGCTTTATTGAACATTTTTGACCAGCATTAAAACCAACTGTCAGCTGATGGGGTGATTCATCCATCAGACAGGTCTCACATCCTTTTACCAGAGTCCAAAGCAGCCTGCCTTCCGCCTTCAGCCCAAGCATGCTGCGACTCCCCAATCCGACTTGGCACTTGCCTTCCCATGCGCTGGCCAGGTATTCCGCCTCCTACACCCTCCCCCGGCATCGCGCCCCCCGCCGCCAGCGCCTTCTCAATCCCACCTTGCAGTCCCATGTTGAAAATGTCCAAACCAATCAAGCTTAAGTGCACCCCATCGGACCGCATCAGCGTGCTGTTATCCCCTTCCAACTCTACATGCCGG